AAAGCTTTCACGAAAGCACTCAGTGAATTTACACATGGAAACAAAATAAAAAAGGTCAAATTTCAGGCAGAGTCCATGATAACAAGCCATGGAATTGGAAAATTGAAGGGGGAAAAATGGTTTGACATCTAGAGCACAAGCAAAACAGCAAGGCAAATCAGAGCAGATGCAAAGAGAATCCAAAGATGGCAGCTCACTATATTTTAAATATCCTGGCTTTTAGGATTGTTGACTGATGATTCGTTAGTCCAATGAATTATTAGAAGCACAACAAAAGCCCCTTCCTATAACACCTCAGCAGGGGAGTAAGTGGTAGAAGTAGGAAACTGAGTGATGTTTATAATTGACAAACCCAGCCAGCATTCAGTTCAGAGATAATGCCAGTTAATTAGCTTTTCCTTCCCTCAGGGTCAGATTAGAGAGGGGAGTGTCATGAATCTCCTAAATAGCTAACTTGAAGTTATCACTTCATACAAGACATTCCACTTCAGGAAGTGTCAGCACACAGACTTACCACTTAAAATAAATGAAAGCCTAAATCATATTCCAAAAGTTTGCCATTAAGCATTCATCCTGTTAAACTGTAGTTTTTCCCCCATTAAAGCTGAAAATAAAAAGATACAAGAGAGCACACGTGAGACAGGCAACATCCATGGAAGGAGAGCAATCTAATGTTTCAAGTCTGGATGAATCAGCTGAAGTGAAGCATGGAGGGGGACAGTATTAATGTAACATCTGAAGGGAGGCATCCAAGTGGAGAGCAGATGTTGATATTTCAGATTAAGTAATTGGAATGAGAAAAAAGCAGAATAATAAGGCATCCAGTTCCCATATGGAAAGAACAGATAGTCCAACTAGAGTTGGTGGACAGACAGGGAGGACAGACATGGTGACAGAATACAACAAGTAAAGCCAAAAAGGGGAGAAATGGAGGAAGAGAGGTCACAATCTGAAGGATATTGTTCTTCCAGTTTACATTATGATTCACTGGAGCATTGCAGCTTAGAAAGAACAGACAAGTGGGCACACAAGAAATACACTGTTAAAATGAATGTAAGGATCACACTTGCACATGGACAGGAGATATATCTGATCTGAAGAGTCATCCAGATTCAGAACATTAGCTAGCCCTCCCTCCATGAACACTTCTTAACCCACTGTGATTTCTAAACTATTTTCAGTGGAAATTCCACCATCTGCATTGATTTGCTCATACTCTCCATTACAATTACTTGTACTGGAAGATAAGTGGGATGTTAAAAAATGACAAAAACCAAGTTTGACATTTAAACACTCAAATGCCAGTGCAGAGTAGGGATCTGACTTCTAGCAAACATTTCACTGGATTAGTTCTCAGGAGGACCATAGAAATGCATCCCCAACTAAACCATTAGCATGAAGGTACTATCCACTCACATTAAAAAGGAGCAATCCTCATTTTAACTGAAAACCCAAAACACATCAATCTCACCATGGAGAGATAAACATAGGAGGAAAACAGCTCTAGGTTGATCTGCTTGTTAACAGCATCCTCAACATCCTTCTGGTAGTTCTGACACACTTGGGAAGCCATCTTCACTATCACCTAGACAACTCTAGAACTTAGCCTCTCTACCACAAACTCATGTATTTATACTCCTGGGACATCCTGCACTCAACCAGGGAATGACATCACCAATGATGATTGACAATCCCTGATAGCCAATCAGGAATCTCCCATCAATCCAGGCACTAATTTAAGACAGCGAATGGTGTGTAACAGCCAGAGCCAATTAGATTCAGATGATTTGGATATTGCAAACAGAGAAGGACATTCAAACACTCAAGCCTATTTCACCATTCAGTTGGATCTTGGTTGGCTTGTATTTTAAGTCTATGTAACCCACCTTTCTTCCACATCCTTGTTACACCCTTTACTTTAACAAATGGTCATTAATCTCGGTTTGAAATGTTCAATTATTGAGTCAATGTTCAGTTAAGGTTTTCTTAGAGCGATGTCCAGATTTGTGGTATTCTTTGTGTGGGAAGTGAAGAAAACCTATATGCACATCTCTCACTTCCTTCACCGAGGTCATTTCTAAACGTGACTCTCAGGTCCATGTACAGGTTCCTGGGGAAAGATGGCCATAGCTTTGCTATTCAAAGTAGATAGCCATTAGCTCTCCTCTATCTCCTACACTCTTACCAATTCCAAACCATTTCTGAAGGTTTACTCCACATGCTTCACTTTCTTACAATTATGTTATGGACCCTTGTCTGTAATGGAATTTAGTTACTGTGACTTTCCTCAAGTGGAAAATATTATAATTCTCTAAAACAGAGTTTCCCAATATATCTGTGGGAGTTCAACCCTGGAGACAACATTGAGCCTAAATGCATCTGTGTTCGCCCATCTCTCGTTGAATTGATACATCTCTCATCAGGTCCAGAAGAGATCAGTGATACTGATATTAATCACAACAGTTGTAGGATATTAAATAAATAGTGAAAGAACCATGGATACTGTGAATTGGACACAAAAATAGAAATTTCTGGAAAAGCTCAGCAGATCTGGCAACATCTATGGAGAGAAATCAGAGATAACATTTTGTGTCCGATGACAATAGCTCAGAACTTCCTCCATTCTGTGGAAGGATCACTGGAAACTGAAATGTTAATTCTGATTTCGCAATTGAAAGCTATTGACCTGCACTAGATAGTTTGCAGTCAATCTGTGAATCAAACAATTTGGTGAAATGGAAAGTGCATCGATGAGATGCCTTGACCAGAATTCTACTGCTCCCATCGCCATCAAGTTCCGAGCAGACCTCTTTCTCGCCAACGACAAACATCACCAAGTTCTGTTCTTTTTGCAAATGTTCACTTTATTTTGAGAGGTATTTGTGAGACAAGATTTAACATTTGAAACTTGGAGAGTCTTGGGATGTAACTTGAGCCTTTCTGCTTTTATTCATCCAACACGTTGTATCGCCCTTGGACAGTGTAGGTACAGGTAATAGTTCCCAACATTTGGCAACTCTCGTGAGAGGCGTCTTAAAGTGGTCAATGCTCAACCACATAAACACATTAAAACAAGCCTCGTTTCAGTATTTTGTGATCAGTAGGAGTTGGAACGTAACCAGTCAGCTGTTTGACCACTGAAACAAGACCATGTCTAATGTGGTCACAACAACTATACTATTTATCACTCATCAGGAGAGGGCTTGCCAGAGCAGAGATAGAGATCCCAAGGGAGGACACGAGCTGAAATTGATGGAATTGTGAGTTCAGAGGCAGCTATGATGGAGTTGGTGCTGTAACAGCTGTACTCCTGCTCTCAGCTCTCTCTATGACAATTTAAGCCTCAAAACAAGGGTGATGATAGCCTGCTGTTACACACTACCAATTTTTAGTCACTAACAATACTCATTCACAGCTACTCACCCTCCTCGACAGATCATTATCAATTCCTTTGTCCATCGAACTCCTCTTCTCTGTCTTTGGGTTCTATCCTTTATCGTATCGTTTACTCCATACCCCATCCCCCTCCCTATCTTCTGCATATGAACTGATATTTTCCAAACTACCGAAAGTTCTGAGGAAGGGTCACTGGACCTGAAACGTTAGCTCTGATTTTTTCTTCACAGATGCTGACAGACCTGCTGCACTTTTCCAGCAACTTCTGTGTTTGTTGTTGATGGTGGGGAAGTGTTTGGAAAGCACCAAATGTAGGAAATAATTGTGGAGCATTTACATCCAGGGGCTATATTTATTTCCTGGGCAAGAGTATATCAGGCCACCACGGACCTGAGAACTGCAAGAAACTTTTTCAATAATCTGGTGGAATTGAAGAGATATTGTGACATTTCTGGTTCCTGTAAACAATCAGCTGAACCCCACCTACTCGTGTCAAAATTTGATCTCTACTGAGAGAGATTCTTCATGAGCAATGTTCAGAATCATTTTGATGGATACTTTCAATTCTTCAACCTGTCAGTGCAAAGAAAGTTTTCATTTTAAACAGGTGACCTGTTACACTAATCTCTCCCAAGAGCGAACATCCTCCCCACTCCCTATCAACAGCCCTCAATCAAGTCCCTGTTGCTCACCAAGAATTGACAGATACAAGCTGGTCTTTAGCATCATCAAGACCAACCAATTCCAAATAATCTGGGAAACCTGATTGTAACAGCTTATGCAGTACTTGCTTTCAGGAAAGGGGATGAATACCATGCTCAGCTGTGGAATCACCAATACCCTGTAGATCTGAAGCATACCTTGTATCCCATTGCATACAACATGTCTTTAGTTTTTCCCCCTGCTGGGAATGGGATCATCCTTAGTGACAAGGAAATACAAAAAGAAATTGCCCTGACACTATTTGAGACAAGTATTAAGGACATTTTAACTTTCACTTTTAAAGAGTAAAGACTATTTGTCTTTCAATAGAATGTGAGCAGAACTCTACCCTGTATCTAGCCTGGCAACATCCTTGTCTTGGGAGTATTTGATGCAAATGCCCAAGCAGCTTTCTCTTGCTAGAAGCGAGTAGAGGGAGTTTTATTCCCTATCTAACCCGCTGCTCCAGTTCAGTAATAGTTTCCAAATGGCATGCTAGGTAGTGTTGAAATAGACCATGATTGTGAATATGCGCCATTGCAGTGGTAGAAGCCCCATTTACACAGCAAACAGACTGTGCTCCGAATTGGCACTTACCACCCGCCCCAAAAGCCCCATGCTGTTGCAATGTAGCTTGGAGAGGTCAGTAACAGCAGATCATGTTTAGGGAGCAGTGAGGAATCTGGACGTGGGTTTCCTCTGGGTGCTCCAGTCTCCTCCCACAGTCCAAAGATGTGCAGGCTGGGTGGATTGGCCATGCTAAATTGCCCATTGTGCTCAGGAATGTTTAGATTAGGGCAATGTTCTGAGGGTTGGCGTGAAGGGCCTGTTTCCACACTCTAGGGATTGTATGATTCTATGATCTGGATCAATGATTATACAATGAGCTAAACAGCAATAGGTCAGTTTGACAGATATTTATTTTTATATCCAGGAAGAGAAAGCAGGACAGGTTTACATTTCAACTTCATTCAGAGCACTAAAGTGTTCCCAAACTCATCAGCTCAGGGTGAGCCTGTCAAACAGGTACTCTCCCATGCCATTCTCAGGGGCTCCCAGTCTCTTCAGGTTGGTGATGTGATCTCCCAGCTTCTTGATCATCTTCACTTGCTCATCCAAGTAGTACCTCTCCAGGAAGTCACACAGCTGGAGAGAAACAAAAAGAGGAATCAGTTCAGAGAGACACAATTGGATTGATCTTTCTTGGGGTTTCTATTATTTATGGATGGCTAGAGCAGTTGGCTATCTCCAAGAACAGGCTGGAAACTGCCTCCCCAGCTACAAGTATTACAGAAGGCAGAGCAAAGCTGACTTGCACACAAGTGCCAAGCTAATCCATTTAACTGGAAACAAACCCCATAACAATTTACACCCCAGGTACCTCAACATCAGTAGCAAATCAGATTGGTCACTGAGACAAGTGGTGTTTGCTCCAAAACAAAACCTTACGTGGACCTTGGCCAATATGCAGTGCAGGGCAGATTCCAGTATCACTGTCAATGATGAAGGTTCGTCAGGAACTCACGTGAGGGTCCGTGTTACCAGAGGCAAGTTTGTGCAGATCCAGCAGACTCTGGTTCACATCCTT